ATATACCTGGTAACGCACCATTATTCTAACATGTCACGACAGAGAAGATAGTTTGCCTCTGAAATCTGAATAAATCCTAAGCCTCATGTAGTCCAGTCTATTCAGAGATTCAGTTTAAAAATGGATGGCACAACAGCCAAACTAAATAAAAATAAATTTCAATTGTCACTTGTTTCCTGATGCAAACCCAATCATAAGTCAGCTATCAGTTCTCAAAGTTCCCTTCCCCCTTTCTACCTTACAGCCTTCCAGCATATCTAACATTTCCCATTCAACAAAACTCTAAAATATCCCAGACACCCACCCTGTACCACTTTTCTGATTCTCTCCCCTCTCAGCTTTTATTCTTTTAATCAGAGAAGTCCCTCTGACTTCTTAAATTTTCTTTTCACGTTGCACGTTACAGCTGAGAGCCCAGAGCTGGAAGAACAAAGAGCCCTCCTCCCTGTCTCCTGTCTTTCCAGCCCTGTCCGTCTCTGACCATTCTCTGAATTCTGCCACATACAAATCGGGAATCAGATGGGCAGGAGCAGGGGAGACATTAAGCAGGAAAAAAGAAAATGATTATTACTGAGAGAGGAATCAAGAATAGGAACATTTTGGATACAGATATTAATACAAACTTTCTCCTCAACGTATTATTTGCATCAACAGAGTAACAGCCAATTAACTTGTGGATAGTATTTTTCAAATGCTGAAAAGATAATAATGGCTAGTATTTATTTGGGGTTTACTCCGTGCTAAGCACTGTTCTAAACTTTTACCATGAATAATCTCGGTTAATCACCCCAACAACCTTAAGAGGTAGGTATTATTATTCTTCCTATTTTGCAGAGGAGGAAACTAAGGCACAGAGAGTTTAGCTTGCCTGCTGTCACACAGCTGGTAAGCAGTGGGCTCTAGAGGCACCACCTCAACCTCTTGAGTAGGTGGGACTAGAGGAGCGTGCCACCACGGCCAGCTATTTTATTTATTTATTTATTTATTTATTTATTTATTTATTTATTTACTTTTGAGATGGAGTTTCGCTCTTGTTGCCCAGGCTGGAGTGCAATGGCGCAGACCCAGAGCATCTGACTCCAAAGGCTAAACTTTTAACCACACTATCAGGAAAGTACTCCCAAAATAGCTGGTATCAGTTTGGTCCAATTTACAATTTCATACCTACTTTGTTCTTTGGCTGTGTGTCTGAAAACCTTTGTGATGATTTCCATTCCGTGGCATTTGCTTCCTTTGTAGAGCTGCTGGTGGCATTTTTATTTGTTGTTCCCTTTCTTGACTTGACACCTACAGACAGATGTAGTAACCATATCTATATATAAAACTTTTTTTAAAAATGTGTACGTCCACAGTTTCATTTAATTTAATTTCATTAATTAATTATTTTTGAGATAAGGTCTCGCTGTGCCGCCCGGGCTGGAGTGCAGTGGTTCCATCACGACTCATTGCAGCCTCCACCTCCTGGGCTCTAACAACCCTCCCACCTCAGCCTCCTGCGTAGGTGGGACTAGAGGAGCGTGCCACCATGGCCAGCTATTTTATTTATTTATTTATTTATTTATTTATTTTTGAGATGGAGTTTCATTCTTGTTGCCCAGGCTGGAGTGCAATGGCACAATCTCAGCTCACTGCAACCTCTGCCTCCCAGGTTCAAGAGATTATCTCGCCTCAGCCTCCAGAGTAGCTGGGATTACAGGCGCCCGCCACCACGCCCAGCTAATTTTTGTATTTTTAGTAGAGATGGGGTTTCACCTGTTGGCCAGGCTGGTCTCAAACTCCTACCCTCAGGTGATCCGCCCACCTCGGCCTCCCAGAGTGCTGGGATTATAGGATCATAGGCATGAGCCACTGTGCCCGGTTTATTTTTGTAGGGATGAAGTTTCACTAAGTTTCCCAAGCTGGTCTCAAACTTCTGGGCACACAAGAGATCCTTCCAGCCCGGCCTCCCAAACACTGGGATTACCAGCGTGAGCTACCCTGTCCAGCCCGCCCACAGTTTTAGATCCTTTGCTTCTGGAGTGCTTTGCTCCCATTACCAAAGCATCTGAGAAATAAGACTTCCTTGATTTCAGTAATGGAGGGAAATTAAGCCCTAAGAGCCCCTGGTTCTTTCAAATTCAACCAGACACAGAAATCGAATTCCCATGACAATTTTGACCTTACCTGGTGAGGCTATTTCCTAATCTCCTAGTTTTACTTACATTCCTCTAAGCAGATGAAAGTAACCAGGCTTACTCTGTTTGCGGGCGTATTCTGCTGCTTTGGGTGCTGTTAACATGGCAAAGGGGTGCAAGGAGAGGCGGAGAGATGAAACTCGGGGAACCTGAAAGGAAAACGGTCCTACTTTTAAAATCTGTCCATCCTTTGTGGCACGAACACCTGCTAGTTACAGCATTTGGCCTGTTTAATCAACTCTACATCCTTGAGTCCAATTCTTGAGTACTGTCCATTGGACAGTACTCACAGTCCATTGATGGGGCGTGTGAAGCATATGAACATGAACTTGCACACGTGGCCTTTTGTTCCTGTACTTTGTTCCCATTGCCTAGAATGCCCTGTCACACACAGATACTCTTCACATAGTTCCCTTTATAGCCATTTCCTCCTTTTCTACCCAGAGGCACCTACCTCTCTTTTACCATGTAACTCAAATGTCACCGCTTCTGAGAAATGTCTCCTGATGTCCTCCCATTCCCACTCTCCCTTGCTGGCAGAGCTCCCCCTGCCCACCTAATGCAGAAATGTTGGTTCACTCATCTGGCCAAAAGTCTTTAACAGGCACTTTACAGAAGAAGAAACATGTGAATAGTTGTCCATTGGTAATCAGGGGAATGCAAATTTAAACCACAGTGAAATACCATAATACACTTAACAGACTGACAAAACTGAAAAAGCCAATGTAGATAACCTGCATTGCTGGTAGAAATAGAATTGGCACAACCATTTTGGAAAGCAATTTAGCTTTATGTAGAGAGTTGAAGATGCTTATACCCACGGCTTAGCAATTTCATTCCTAGGCATATACCACACAGAAACTCTTTTGCTGTGCAACGCTTTTTGCTTTTGCAAGAAATAACTCGGCCAGGCGTGGTAGGTCATGCCTGTAATCCCAGCTCTTTGGGAGGCTGAGGCGGGTGAATCATCTGAGGTCAGGAGTTCAAGACCAGCCTGGCCAACATGGCAAAACCCCGTCTCCACTAAAAATACAAAAAAATTAAGTGAGTGTGGTGGCGGATGCCTGTAATTCTAGCTACTCGGGAAGATGAGGCAGGAGAATTGCTTGAACCCAGGAAGCAGAGGTTGCAGTGAGCCGAGACGGCGTCGCTGCACTCTAGCCTGGGCAACAAGAGTAAAACTTCATCTCAAAAAAAAAAAAAAACTCCAGTGCCTGAAATGGAAAAATAGATGACAACATTGTGGTATATTCCTAGAGTGGAATACTATATGTAGTGAAAAGACACTATAGCTATGTTAGCTGTGTGCAGCAGTATTAATAAGTTCTCAAACATAATGTTGAATAAAAAAAGAAAACCATTAAATGACACATTTGCTAATATTCTATTTATAAAAACTCAAAAAGTTGTGCAAACTTAAACAATATATAGATTAGAGATGCATATGTGGTAAAACTATAAAGAGGTAAAATATAGTAATCAACACATAATTCAAAATAGTGGTAACCTAGGGCGAAAGGAAGGGTATGAGACAGGAGAGGGTATACAGAGAGCTTTAAAGCTGTTGATACTGTTCTATTTTACACACTTGAATTTGTTGGTTTGCTTGGTCTTTGTCCTGTAAATATATATTGTTAAGTGTTCATTTGGACACAATTAATATTGAAAGTGTGTTTTTAATCCCTCGTTTACTATTATTATTATTTTTGAGACAGGGTCTCACCCTGTCACCCAGGCTAGAGTGCAGTGGCGAGATCTTGGCTCCCGGCAGCCTCCACCTCCCAGGCTCAAATGATCCTCCCATCTCAACCTCCCAAGAAGCAGGGACTGTAGACACACAACACCACACCTAGCAAACTTTTGTATTTTTTGATAGAGACAGGTTTTTGCCACATTGCCTAGGTTGGTCTCGAACTCCTGGGCTCGAGTGATTCTCCTGCCTCAGCCTCTTAAAGGGCTGGGATTACAGGTACTGCATCCGGCCAATTCCTCATGATTAAGATCTGTCAATATTGAACTTTTATTTCAAACATAGGTCCCTCCCCTTATCATGAAGACATTTTAAAATTTCTGCACAATTCAGTCTGAGTCAGCATCCTCCAAAAAGAGGAGATGCTTGGCAGATTACTGGAGTAAGTGTGAGAGGGTGGAAGCCAGGCCTATCATGAAGGGACCAGGCTGCTGTCAGGAGGAAGGAGGCTGGCCATCCGAGTGGGGGTGAACTTGGAAATAACAGCACTAAAATGGAAGGTCCCCTGGTGCCACCATCGTGTGCTCGATACGTGCGATCTTGATGAGTCCTCAGAGTGATCAGGTGTGTTTGGGGAAGTGTAATCATGCCTGTTTAGACATGCCTATTTACATATGGGGAAACTGGGACTTGGAGAGAAATAACTTATCTGAAGACACACAGCTAGCAAGTGACAAAGCTGGGACTGGACATCAGTCTGTTTGCCTGTGACATGCTCTGGACTTGGATGTCAGTTAGGATGGACTCGAATGATAGCCAGTCAGATGGACTCAAATGATAGCCAGTCAGACGCTGGGGTCCGGCTTCATGAAGAAAAAAGGAAAGCAGAGGTTCTAGTGCTGTCTGACCACCTGCCTTTGTCTCTTTCCTCTCTCTGATGTGCTCATTTCCACTCTCTCTGTCTCTTTCTTTCTCCATCAAATGGAGCTGAAGAATATTTTTATTTTTGTTTGATTTGTTGAAGGAAGATTTATGTTCTCTTTTCTTCAGGTTAAAATCGAATAAAACACGGTTGGGTGCGGTGGCTCAGCCTGTAATCCCAGTTCTTTGGGAGGCCAAGGAGGGGGTGGATCACTTGAGGTAAGGAGTTCAAGACCAGCCCTGACAACATGGCAAAACCTCTCTACTAAAAATTTAAAAAAATTAGCAGTGCACAGTGGCGCGCACCTGTAATTCCAGCTACTCAGGAGGCTGAGGCAGGAGAATCACTTGAACCCGGGGGACGGAGGTTGCAGTGAGCCAAGATGGCACCACTGCACTCCAGCCTGGGTGACAGAGTGAGACTCTGTCTCAAAAAAAAAGAGACATTTTATATTTATCCGGGGCTAGTTGTCAATAACCCTCACTTGCATAACGCCTTTAGTTGAATTTTTTCTAGGAGTCCAGAATCCTCAGCAGAAGAAAGCTCCCTATCACCAAAAACCCGCTCCCTCTCAGGAGGCAGAACCTGAGGCTAAGAGTTGGTGAGCAATCCCGCGCCTATGACGCCTTTCTACCATCAGGTGGCAGCACATACTCCCGGAGAAGGTCATCAAGCCTAGCGCAGTACCCATATTGTGTCATGTGGCCAATTCCAGTTGCAGGAAATTCTACATAATCTGATTAGTATTCAACAGAGTTTTAAGCTTTTGGTTGGGAAGGATTTTAGCTGTTGCTTAGGAGACATTTTATCGGAAGGAATCATTCAGATATATGTAACAAAGAAGAATCTCTGGCAATATCTTTTTTTTTTTTTTTAAACTCCTCTTTCTAGTTAAAACCATTTTTTGAAATTATGTTAAATTCCAAAAGATTCTTAAAATAGCCTTACAATTCAGTCTTAGAAATGCTACATTCCTACTGAGAGATTCTGCTAATTCCTAATTCAAGATGTGGCAAAAGTCCCTGAGTGCAGCTGATGTGTAGCTCCAAGCGTGAGGCCTGAACTGGCGTTCTGGAAGTGGGGAGCCTGTGAGGCTCACGGGGCAGATCCTCAGACTCTTAGGCTCTCGTACTGGCAACTCAAGTGACACCCTCTGTGATAACTGGTTGTCCAAAAGAGGCAAAGTTCACATTGTGTTAATAATACACGTGGATACTTGATTAGCTATTTAATTTCTGAATATTTAGAGCAGTAGTTCTCAATCTCATGTGATTTTGCCTCCCTGGGGACATTTGGCAAAGTCTAGAGACTTTTCTTTTTTTTTGAGATGGAGTCTCCCTCTGTTGCCCAAGCTGGAGTGCAGTGGCACTATCTCCACTCACTGCAATCTCTGCCTCTTGGGTTCAAGCGATTCTCCTGCCTCAGCCTCCTGAGTAGCTGGGATTACAGGCACCCACTACCACACCCGGCTAATTTTTGTATTTTTAGTAGAGACGGGGTTTCACCATGTTGGCCAGGCTGGTCTTGAACTCCTGACCTCAAGTGATACACCCGCCCCGGCCTCCCAAAGTGTTGGGATTACAGGCGTGAGCCATGGCACCGGGCTGACATTTTTAATTGTCACAACTGGCGAGAAGCTACTTGCATCTAATGGGTAGAGGCCAAGGATGCTGTGAAACATCCCACAGTGCACAGGACAGCCCCAGACCTCCATTCCCTGAGTACCAGAACTTTAATTAAAGCTATTATTTGGAGGTTACCATGTGCCAAACACTAAGGGCTTCACTGATTCTAACTTACTTCATTCCCACAACAACCCCATCTTTGCGTCCCTGTTTTTACAAATGAAATTGAGAATTAGAGAGGTTAGAACATTTGCCCAGAATTATTCTGCTTGTAACTGTGGAGCTGGATTTCAACAGGAGACGAGGCTTTGGAATCCTAGTGCTTCTAAACTTAACATCTGCCTCTCGGATAATATTATATATAATAATATACATGTCGTACTATATACTAGTATACTATTGGTTATTTATTTACGTATTAAATATGCTTACATATATAAATATGTATAATATATCGTAGTATAGTAATAATGGTAATCTATAATATACACATGTATGATATATATAGTATGTTTGTGTGTGTGTGGTGATATATAAAAATCGAGCCTTATTACATCACATGATCAACAAATAAAGCAGCAAGGTGCAGTAGATCAGTTGATCCAGGCATTTGGGAGGTTGAGGCGGGTGGATTCCCTGAGCTAGGAGTTAGCGAACGCCTGACCAACCATGGCAACACCCATTCTCTAAATACAAATAGCAGGCATGGTAAGGCATAGCCTGTAATTCCAGCTCCAGGAGGTGAGGAGAGAATACTTGAACCCAGGAGGCGTAGGTTGAGTGAGCAAGATTGCGCATTGACTCCAGCCTGGCAAGCATTCAGGTGAACTCTGGTCCAGGAAAAAACAGAAAACAAACAAACAAAAATAAAGACAAAAAACAAATACAAGCTTTAAAGAAAAGTCACCAGCCGCCTGTGACCAATATTATCTCTCTGTTCTGAATGGTTATTGTCACTGATTGTGAGAATGGGGACTATGTGTCACTGAACAGAGAAGGTGCTGAACAAAGGCTCTTTAATGAATAAATGAGTGATCAGATGGATAGGTAGAGATTGGTTGGTCCACCTCTACATGGTCTGTCTTCCCCTTCTAGCACCTTTATTTATTTATGAGACGGAGTTTTGCTCTGTTGCTCGGACTAGAATGCAGTGGCACAATCTGGGCTCCCTGCAACCTCTGCCTCCCAGGATCAAGCGATTCTCCTGCCTCAGCCTCCCAAGTAGCTGGGATTACAGACATGCACCACCACATCCCGCTGATTTTTTGTGTTTTTAGTAGAGGTAGAGTTTCACCATGTTGGCCAGGCTGGTCTCGAACTCCTGACCTCAGGTGATCGACCCATCTCTGCCTCCCAAAGTGCTGGGATTACAGGTGTGAGCTACCACGCCTGGCCTTCTAGCAACTTTAAATGAACCTGATTTATCTGAGCTACTCAGACACCCATGTTTGCAAACCTTCTTGAATGATAACCCAGCCAAGCCTGGAGGGGTCCACAGTGCCATCCTCTCGAGGATGTGATTTTCCATATTAATCTTTCGGTCATGTGAGTTGGGACCAACCAGTCAGATGTGCTGATACCTTTCTAGACCTTTCCCAGGTACCAGAAGATGACAGGAAGAAAACAGTGACTGAAACAGAAGGGTTTGGGGCTCACGCTTGCATGTATATGTGCTGAGGGGTAGGGGAAAAGGAGAAAGGGCAGCCTAGAAGGGAGAAAGCTGCAGAAAAAGGCAAGCAGGAATGAAGCAGTATGATTTGCTTGGCTATCCAAGGAACACAGAGAACTGGGCTTTCTTTGAAAACCAAGAACATCTTGATCTCTGAGGAGGGTCAGGCCTGAGGTGGCTTATATCTCAGACAAGGTAAGCTCCAATATAGGATATAAGATCTATAGGATAAGTAATCTTGGCTGGGTGTGGTGGTGCATGCCTGTAATCCCAGCACTAGGGGAGGCCAAGGTGGGAGGATTGCTTGAGCCCAGGAGTTCAAGACCAGCCTGTGGAACATAGGGAGACCCCCATCCCTAAAATTTTTTTTTATTATTATTATTTTTGAGACAGAGTTTCCGCTCTTGTTGCCTAGGCAGGGGTGGAGTGGTGTGATCTCAGCTCACCACAACCTCTGTTTTCTGGGTTCAAGAGATTCTCCTGCCTCAGCCTCCCCGGTAGTTGGGATTACAGGCGACCACCATCACACCTGGCAAATTTTTTGTATTTTTAGTAGAGTTGGGGTTTCACCATGTTGGCCAGGCTGGTCTCGAACTCCTGACCTCATGTGATCCACTCACCTTGGCCTCCCAAAGTGCTGCGATTACAGGAGTGAACAATTGCGCCCTGCCTACAAAAAAAGTTCTTAAAAAGTTACCTTGTCTGACTTGCTCACCACTGTGTCCCCTGCACCTACAATTATACTGAATGAACAGATGAATGAATGAATGAATGAGTGAATGAATGAAGTGAGTTGAAACGAGAGGGATCAGAGAGAAAGTTCTGATTTTCACAATCATCAAGGGCATTTGAGTCTCAGGACTGCAGTCAGGTTACATATGGATTAAGGTGATAGGAAGGTTGGTTTTGATGTAAACACTTGACTCCTAAGGTGGACCTGGTGGGCTCTTGAACTCTACATGACCCCAGTGCTTGCACAATGATCTGCAGTAAAAGAGCAAGGGAGGCAGGCATTCCTGTGGCCCAGCCCTGCCCCTGCCCTGCCCTCCCTTCTGAATCCAGGTGGGGGCGGGGAAAGCCACAGTGTGAGCAGAAGACCTGGGCATGAGGGCGTTAGTTCTCCCCCTTCCTCCCTCCCACTGCATGGCCTTCACCACCCCACCTTCCTTTTCCTCTTCCCTCTTCCCTCTTCTAGAGGTATCCGAAGGTGAAGGGATCAGTAGTTCACCTCTAAATAGCAGTTCATATTTAAATGTTTACTTAATGTTCATACATTTACAAGTGTCAAAAATGGAAGTGGTCTTAAACATTAATCAGAACACCTTTTTTTTTTTTTTTTTTTTAAGATCAGTCATATGGAGGCCCAAAGGAAGAAAGGGATGCATCTAGGGTTTCATAGTCGTGGAGTCAGAACTCAAACCCAGGTTTCTGAACTCCCAGGTCACTGCTGCTTCTACTGCTAATGATTTCAAAGTAGTTTCATGGGAGGAGCTGGGAGTGGAGCTCACACCTGTAGTCCAGCTACTTAGGAGGCTGAGGCCAGGATTTCGAGGATTACTGGGTCCCAGGAATTTGAGACCAGTAGTGATACCCGTCTTTAATAAAAGTAGTGTTGGCTGGGAGCGGTGGCTCACGCCTGTAATCCCAATACTTTGGGCGGTTGAGGCGGGTGGATCATGAGGTCAGGAGATGGAGACCATCCTGGCTAATGCGGTGAAAGCCCGTCTCTACTAAAAATACAAAAAATTAACCGGGCATGGTGATGGGCGCCTGTAGTCCCAGCTACTCAGGAGGCTGAGGCAGGAGAATGGTGTGAACCCGGGAGGCAGAGCTTGCAGTGAGCCGAGATCGCGCCACTACACTCCATCCTGGGTGACAGAGCGAGACTCCGTCTCAAAAAAAAAAACCAAAACCACAGCAGAATAAAATTCGGCCCCCAAGCCTGGTACTCTCTTTGCTGCCTCTTTGCTGACGCTTCTCAGCCTTACATGAGACACATTTGTTATTACTGTGTGATCTTTTACATATGAAAGGCATTTCATAAACATGTTATTCAGGTAAGAAATGATTATGTCTGGTTTTGTACATTTTGATGCAAAACTGTTATTTCGTAATTGATGTCTGAAAATACGACATTATACATTTATACACTAAATAAATTCTCTCTAAAAATCCCTTATATTGACAATCCCGGGTCACCCTTACCTTGATGGTACCAGAACTGGCAGAAGAATCAGCCCCATAAATTCTAAAGACTTCCTCAATCGGGATACTGTTCTGTTAAACAACAACAGCATTAACAAAGTATGATCATACCATGGCTTTTCTTTTATTACAACACAAAGCTAGTATAGCTCCAGCATGTCTAAAACTGTGCTTGGGTATCATAAGTACTAAATACAGTAAATAACTTCTGATCAATGGATGAATCAGTTTTCCAGATACCAATTAGTTATGTCTCTCATTCTTTTCTTTTTTCTTTGCCTCTTAAATAAATGTTTTCACATACAGTTTAGAAGTTAGTCTTTTTATTACATTAAAAAATGAAGCATTTACTATTAGTAACTCCTAAACATTTAGAAACATTGGTTGAAAAATAATGTAAATATTCATTACTGTGAAAATGCTCAGAGTAGATATGAAATATTCATATAGGTAAATAATATTCTTTTCCTTACCATTAAGATTCCAGCATAAGATGATAAAATCATAGCTTCTCGTTCTTTACGATTGGGATACATGGGTCTGCCACGGAATGGCATTTTCCTAATGGGGAATAGGAAATACAAGTGGAGGATTTATTCTTGTTCTTTTTGATGCCTGCTGAGGTTGTGATGATAATCGATAAGTAATCTGCAATGGCTGTGTGCTATCCGCTTATTTATCTTAATAAAACTGATGTGATTGTTCCTCCATCGGTGAAATCCAAACTTTGAATTTTTAACCTTCCAATAATGGTGATGAATTTGGCCTCATCTATCCATGTTTTCACAGCAGTCAAAGACTGGCAGACTGGCCACTGTGGGGAATGTTTACGGTTTTGCGAACCATTATCCTTTCCCGTTCTTGTGGCAATTTGCTTTGGGGGAACTACCTAACCCCACTGTAAGCCTATATGCTTCTAGGGGAGCCCACTACACCCCTAGATTCCAAAAGTGAAAAATACACTGTGGACTGAGCTGTCAGTGTATTCCACCTCCCCTGCACTGCCACTGTCCAACCCTAGACAAGTCAGGTAACAGCCACTGAGACACAATTATGTGATGAAAATATATATATATATATATATATGTGTGTGTGTGTGTGTGTGTGTGTGTATATATATGTGTGTGTGTATATATATGTGTGTGTGTGTATGTGTGTGTGTGTATATATATATGTGTGTGTATATATATCTCCACCCTTCCTCTGATAATGAAATAGGCTGAAACTAGGAATGATGTTCACCCTGAGGAAATGGAGTCAAGAGGTAGATCCATATGACATTGTTTGAGTTTTGAATTAAACCATGCCTAACACAGTCCTACCCGTGGACTTTTCAGATTCAAGGGCAATAAAATCTACTCCCCACCTTTTTTTGCTTAAGGCTGTTCAAATTGGATTTTCTACTCATTGCAGCTAAACCCTAACTGTTATATCTCTCTAGGATCAAGTGTGTAGTCCAGAGCCATTGAGTAGAAAAAAAAAATAACAGGCCTCTGGAATAAGCGATTTGATCCTGTCCTCATTAGTTCTGTGTTCTTACCAATTGAGTGAATCTGCCTGTACACTCCCTACACACGACAGAAAATGCCAGTAATCCCAGAAAGAAAATTATTCTGCGCTTCAAATAGCTTAGCTGAGATACACATCTGCCTAAATGCTTAAGAATTTGTGTTTTGTAGTCCTTAGGAAAAGATTACAGCCTTTAACTGTAGAACTGACTGTTTGAAATTATGGCATGTACACAGTAAAGCAGTCACGTTTCTAATACAGAGCATTCTTTATTTTTGAGATGGAGTCTCACTCTGTTGCCCAGGCTGGAGTACAGTGGCACAATCTTGGCTCACTGCAACCTCCGCCTCCTGGGTTCAAGTGATTCTCCTCTCCTGCCTCAGCCTCCTGAGTACAGGTGTGCACAACCATGCTGGGCAAAGTTTTGTATTTTTAATAGAGACGAGGTTTTACATATTGGCCAGGCTGGTCTTGAACTCCTGGCCTCAAGTAACGAGTCTGCCTCGGCCTCCCAGAGTGCTGGGATTACAGGCATGAGCCACCGTACTCGGCCCCTTAAGATACAACATTCTGTGCAAGAAAGTCTTTTATCTCACAGAAGTCAATTGGTAGAGATGCAAAACATGGAAACATGTAACTTCTTCAAGTTGGCAACTGTGGAGGTTCCTCAGGTGTCTCATTGAAGAGGATATTCCCCTGTAGTGTTTTCAAATCAGAGTGCCTCATGATGGAAGATGTTAGGGCTGGAACTTCCTCTATCGTTAATCATAGGCACAAATTAAAAAGGAAAGCAATAAACCTATTTCAACTTACAGTTCCTCCCACTCCAACCAAGTTAAGTCTTCTGAGGGATGCAGCCATTGCAAAGCAACACTGATGGCCAAGTCATAGTGTGCCTGGGAGCAGGAAGCACAGAAAGCAAAGAAACAGGCTTAGACATTGGCCGAAGTACTCTCTGGACCCAATGACAATGGTACTGCTAAGCCTATTCTAGTCTGTCATGTCCAAAATGGGAAGGATCATTAGCTTTAATAATCTGATGCTCAGACAGATTTTTTTTTTTTTTTTCTCAGACCTCACCTCACAGGGATGAATCAGTCAGAAATATTTTGGGATCTTCAGACATTAAATTTATTTCCCACTAGAGCAGTTATCTGATTCCTGTGATTTGGAAATGAAAGGAGAGATCAGTGAAGAATTATAAACTTGGAATCAGAAAATCTGGGCTCAAATCTAGGTATTGCCAACAACTCACGGAATATCGTTAGGTGAGTAACTGATGCTCTCTGGGCCTCAGTTTCCCTAAATTTTAAAATAGAAAAAGGTAAGGCTGGGGGAACAGGGCTGCAGGGAACAATTTCTGGTTCCGTGAGTAGAATGTAAGAAATGTGCTTCCAGGGGTGCAGGGGCAGTGTGGTGAGAATTTGGAAGGATGGGCCATTTTATGTCTACCTGGAGAGATAGCTAGAATCCCAAGAAGCTTCAGAGACGAAAGCTTCATTGAAGCTGGGGCTTGTGGGATGAGAATGTCTACAGATGGGGAAGGAAATCACAGGTAGAGGAACTATAATGAAGCAAGGATGGGGCAGGCGGGGAGCGGGATAGACCTGAGTAAGTGACTTGCTGAGAGTTTTACACGCACACGTAGTAAAAAGCTGAGAACCAATGCAGACGCTCATTTTTATCATAGTGACCACCTTTTCCTAGTAATTCCCAAGAGTTCTTGTTCAGTAAGCATATTTACCATTTGTCTATCAAAATATTCCTTCTCTCCTTTAAGTCCCCACACACAGAAAAGGAAGATTGGTTTTGTTTTTAATTATTGTAGAGGCGTTCTTAAGTTTTAACATTTTTAAACAGTGGAGTTATTTCTTCCAGGGACTGAACCAAACTGAACAGGGAACCTAAATGAGTAAATAAACAGGAAGAATGGGACCATGACCAGTTGTTGCAACCTGATCCGAGGTTTGACGCCTTGGCATCACCTGTTTGCTCATTTGAAATGCAAATTCCTAGGCTGTGGGCCCACCCCATTTCACCTCCTGAATCAAAACAGCCTTGTAATATGACCTCATTAAAGTTTGAGAAGCACTGCTCTAATCTACTTAATTTATCTGTTTAATATGTGTACAGAGAGAATAAGGCTTAACTGTTTCCTTAGCTCCAGGGTAGTTTTGAAAGCCAGTGAGACTGACTCTACTTTAGTCAGAGAAGAAGAGGAGAGGGGAGTGGAGGGACAGTCTTTTTTATTAGTGCAAGGATAGTAAATGGGCAGTGGAAAAACAGGGTGTGCTGATTTCTTTTGAGTTAGATCTTTATATGGTTTCTTCCTTAATTTCTGTGATGTGAACTTTCAGATCCTGAGTCTGGGTTTCAAAATAAGTAACACCAAGGATTTTTAGGGTTACTTAATTTATTTGATTTTCCCCCACTGATGCAAATGGTAAAGAAATTATTTTGAGAACTACGTGATAGCTAATTTTATCAAACTCTTAACTCCACGGATGTAACATTTTGCCTTGCATTGATTTTGCTTTTTAATCTTCTTTCCTAATAGCAAATAACTCTCATGATTTTTATTTTCTCATTCTCTTTTTGCTTTCTGGTTAGTGGGTTGAAATGACCATATGAACAATCTCAGGGTGAGGAGAAGATGAGGAAGAGGACATTTGGGGGATGGGTGTCAATATCAGCCTTGTTTATTGTATAAATTAGATCCTTTTTCTGTCTCTTTAATACACATATAACACAAATATGACTCGCATCAGCATGCCTTTCTTTACCATATCATCTAGAGAGGTGAGTTGCCTTCTTCCTTTTGGGTCAAATTCATTTTCCCGAAGTCTGATGCCAATATAATCTCCCCTTAAAAGCAAGAGAGCAGCATTGAACCATTGAAGTGACACAGGCTCAGTCTGCAGAAAAAGGCTTTTTTTCCCCCATCCCTCCCTCCTCCACCAAAATACAACAGAAGTTGCTGATACTCTGGTAGCTGAGTTAATATTCAGTTTTGGTTTACATGGTAATTCTACAGTGCTGCAGTTTAAAATGTCTAACCATAATTAGCTGAAATAACATTTATCTAAAAATTAAACTCAACTGGAACAGAATTTACAGGAAAGTAAATAATATGCCAAATACCCACACACAGAAATGGTTTTACAAGACCAAAAGGATTGAGACACACTGTTTAAAATAATCATTTGCTTCCCGTGTTAAATTCAAGCAGCATGTCCAAAGTTGATAAATTCCAGATACATAAAATTCTGTAGGTAAGTATTCTTTTCCATAAGGTTTTTTCTCTTTAGAATGCAAATACCCTTAGGAGGAGGAGTGCATGAAAACTTATTAGTGATTCCACTTTAGTTTATCCTTAGCAGATCCTTTCCTAACAGTGACTTTTAAGAAAAGAAGGTAAAATAAGCACCATGAGGAGAGAAGAGAGAGAGGTGCTACCCTGGGAATGTCAGAGAGAGGAAATGGGTGCAGGAAAAGAAGGACTATGGCATCTCCCAGGTTGATTTCGGCACATCTCACAATTTTACGTAAGGTGGAGAATAAGTTTATTTCTGGCTTCTAAAATCTTTTCCTCTGAGTCACTAAGCTTAACTAGATTGATAAAAATTCTTAAATTTCTACTGAAATTTCAGGATACTTTAAAGTAGCCTAAATGTATTCTTTGGATATAAACTTGTATTTATATCACTTTTGAAATTCCAAATCTTTGGATGAGATATGTGGAAGAGTTGGCATTCCTGATCATGGTTTGTTCTTTACTATTCTATTGGTCTCTAACATATAACACAAATATGACTTGCATCAGTGTGCCTTTCTTTACCATATGATCTAGAAAGGTAAGTTCCCTTCTTCCTTTTGGGTCAAATTCATTTTCCTGAAGTCTGATGCCAATATAATCTCTGCTTAAAAGCAAGAGATGAATATGAATTCACATACATGTGCATACACATATATGTGTACACGTGTACTATATATGAATTCACATATGTGTATACATGTATATATGTACATATATGTAACTTCATAGTTTCTTCTAGTATTTCTTAAGGGCTTGTTAAAATAAAGTTATCTTAGAAGGCCAAGAAAAGATATTTGATGGGGATGGTGATAGCTTTTTTATGAAAAGGGTATTACTGTTGTGTCTATAACATATATGAGATAGAACATAATCTTTCTTTTTTCTTTTTATATGGTTTGTGATCTTTCACCAACATTTGTTAAGTACAAGTCAAAGAAAAACTACCATGGGAGGAAAACATTTCTTCAAAGGAAACTTGATGTTTTCTGTGTTTGTTTTAAAAATGGTCAGATGTCAAGAAAAAGGAGATGAATTTCTTAGTCAATAAGGCTGACAATAAAAGAGGCAGAGCAGGAGGCTGCAATTCAGATGCTGGGCCCTTTCAGGAATCTCTCGTATACCTTTTACCAGCAGAGGCAGACCCTTTCAACGGTGCATCCTGCCTACACAGGCTGACTGGGACATAGGCTCAGCTCTCAGGCTCTAGAACGCAGATGCCTTGAATGTGTAGGCTGCCAGCAGAAACATCCTCCCAAAAGTTTCAGCATCCTGCCTTGCACCACATGTGAGGCCTCCCTGGCAGGAGACCGAGAGAGGCCAGATCACCCTCTGGTTTTCTCCTACCATGCAGAAATAGATTCTTCCTTTGATTTTTACCCGCTGCCAATACCCAAGCCATCCATGACATGAAATCCACTGAATGCCAAGTGTCATAAATGAAAGTTATTCTCAATCATACTTACAGGAGCTTTTTCATTTCCTTCTTTATGAGCCTTCTTTCCATGTTAAAGGCTTAGCCAGCTGAGCAGGTATCTGCAGCTAACAGTACACTTGAGATCCTGTGGGAAGACCCAGCTTCTCTGAGCCTAGAGGCTACAGCAGCAAATCAGAGAGAATTTGAGTTAGGGATGCTATCACTCCAAATACCAGTCATGGAGTCCTAGGCTCTGGAAGGGATCCGAGGGAGCACCTCATTCAGGCCTCTTATTCAGCAGATTCGAGGTCAAAAAGCTGCCTGGAGGCTCATGCACTGTACTTTGTATTTATTTGACACCTTTTATTCCTTCCAAATTTTTCCAGCACTTATTTACTTAATTTACTCTTCCTTGCAATAATCTAGCAAGTAAAACCAAAATGGTTTGTGTAATAGCTGATGAGACTATTCGGGCAGAACCATCCAAACTAGATGGATGTGATCCATCTAGATCTAAATGCGTTTGGGTTTTTCTGTGAGCATAACTCCCAGTGAGTTCACCCTGGCTCAGTGGCTCATAATGCAGTTTTCCATAGACTCCATCTATACCCTCCTATGGCCAGGAGGTCCTTGGAAGAAAATGTGGTTATGGGAAATATGTCTTCAATTCCCACCCCTGCACTGAACCAGAAATTGAAGGTCAGGTGATGGGGTCAAAAGAGGTCTGAAGTCATCAAAAAGGAGTCTGTAGAAAATCATCACTATTGAATGGGGTACTCAGGGAGAGGTATAAATAGGGTATCTATCTGTGATTTTTTATTTATTATTAAATTTATTTTATGGTTGGGCCACTATCTGTGATGTTTTATTTATTTTAAAATTTATTTTATGGTTGGGCCACTATGACCAAATAGTTGTTCAGACATTATCCCGGATGTTTCTGGTGTTTTTTGATGAGATTATCATTTAATTCAGTGGATTTTGAAAGCAGATTGCCCTCTATCTGAGTGAGCCTTGTCCAATCAGTCAAAAGCCTTCACAGAACAAAAGACTGACCTCCCCCATGCAAGAAGGAATCTGCCAGTAGGTAGCCTTTGGATTCAAACTGCAACTCTTCCCTGAGTCTGCAGGCAGCTGGCCTCCTCTATCAGATTTTGGACTGGCCAAGACCCCACAATCATGTCAACCAATTCCTTAAAATCAAAATATTTGAGCAAAAGAGATGGTTAAGCCTATACTGCACCGTGTGTGTGTGTGTGTGTGTGTGTATCCACACACATCCTGTCAGTTCAATTTCTCTGAGGAACCCCAATACTCAAATATAACAAAATGTTAGTAGTTATTGACTCCAGAATTCTAAACCCATGAGTGTTTATTATACTACCCTTTGTACTTTTAAAATTGTACGTGTATTTAAATCACTACTCTAAAGATGATTGGAAAACAAACTTTAGACACGGTTTTAAAAAAAATGGTACCATATAAGCTTCACTTGATTCAGCTCTACTAACAGTAAGCAAAGAGCAAACAGGATGGCGCTGATCTAAATAAAGTATTCCCTAGTCCACCTTCGTTATTTTGGATAATTTTTTTTTTTTGAGACAGAGTCTCGCTCTGTTGCCAGGCTGGAGTGCAGTGGCACAATTTCGGTTCACTGTAACCTACGCCTCCTGGGTTCAAGCGATTCTCCTGCCTCATCCTCCCAAGTAGCTGGGATTACAGGTGCATGCCACCATGCCCAGCTAATTTTTTTGTATTTTTAGTAGAGACAGAGTGGTGTCACCATATTGGCCAGGATGGTCTCCATCTCTTGACCTTGTGATCCACCCGCCTTGGCCTCCCAAAGTGCTGGGATTACAGGCATGAGCCACCGTGCCCGGCTATTTTGCATCATTCTTGCTGCTGCTACATCTGCTTCAGTTTTTGGGGAGTGAACGGGATGTGGATAAGATGAAAGTGGGAAGAAAGTAAGAGCATTTCACAGGAAATTGATTAAGTATCAAGACAATAATATTGCCCCCTACAGAGTCAACGGGGAGAGAATGCAGCAAGCCATAGAGGTGGCCCCATTGCCTAGAGAAGAAAGAGCACTGGACCCAGGAAAGCCACACTCGTTGACGTGGCTGTGCATCTTCTGCTTCCCAGCCTCAGGTATTATCCTAAAAAGATGGGCCTGGCTAACATTGCCTAGAGCACTTGTTACCCCAACATTCTGTAACTCTATAAAGTCTGGCATGCATTAAAATTCTTCTGATTCAATAATTTGGAAAAACATTTGTTGCTAGACTATTTGGCCTATCTCAATTCCTTGAAGGGGACTAAGGCACACTTAGCATGTGCTTTAATCCATTCTTGTCTTGTAATTCTGAGCAAGCCCTTTGAGTTTCAGACTTACAAGTTATAATATTTGCGTTGCTCGGTTGTTGTGACAGCTTCCTCTTAGATCATCCCTCATCCTCCCCATCCCCTGCCCCCCACCACCGCCATTCAATATAGTATAATATGCAAAGGTTTCGATCTTTAAAATACGAGTATATCCCACTCCCAAACCACTAAACTGTAGATCAGAAGACCCTGTGAGGCCACCAACTAGCTGTGCACCTTGAACAAATTAATTTGCCTCTCTATGTTTCTTCATTTCTTCCTCTGTAAAAAAAAAGCATTGCATGATTGGAGAGATTCCTTACAGCTGTAGAAGTGAGTGATTTATAGGCATTTAGTAGGTACGCCTGGTTTAAAGAAGGCCATTTGCACAGACTCTAATTCAGCTAGATTTGAATTCTGCCAGTTACCCCTCTTCTCTGACTATAGAGCTCTAAAGAAAACAAGACCGCTGTGTGTTTTGTATGTGGCTGAAAGCACACACAAAAGAGGTACTGGAAAGATGTCAGCTGTCTCAGGCTTTAACTGTTTCATAGAAACAATTCCCTAGAAGTCAGAGCCCCCAGATGCTATAGGAATATCATTTCCTGGAGAATATCTGCACATTCCATGCAGGTTCCCTGCTGCACCCCTGCAATCGTGGTACAGGTCTCTTGGGCTATTCTATTAGGTGCCTGCTCTTAACAAATTCCCCTTTGAGAATTGCTCACCAACCGGAGACCTATTCCAGTGCTTTTGTTCTTTCTCTGCTTCTGGAGGCATGCTGGAGCATCCGCGCGTCTCAGACTGGTGCTCACAGACATCAGGATAACATGCTTTTTCCTGGTTGCTAGGAAACGGTGAATGAATTAAAATCATTTGTTTTTAAAAATACACTCCCCCACGCCCACCCCCATTAAGGGTTGAGGGAGGATGAAAAGTCATATATTTGGGACAGGATTGTGATCCTGGCCTGAAGTTCACGTGTCTTTTTACCTGAGTAGGCTTGTGTTTCCCATCTAAATGATTAATTGAAAAGCCAGGAGGATGGGAGGAGTTTACCTCCCCTGGAGTTTTTTATAGCATTTGGCTGCAGACATAGGAATCAATTGACTAAGCAAGGATTGCTGGGGAAGCTAGTAAAACTCTGACTCCTACATACTTAGGGTGCCCCAAAGTACCCAATGACGCAAAGATCATTCTACTTGGTGAATGTCAACACAAAACAGTGGCAATCCTGAAGAAACATCACCTGGGTTCAAACCATCACCATCTTTCTAATGATAAATGAGATCCCTGCCCACACACCTGCCTCCTTGTCTTAAACACTTGCTCCCTTGCTTAAAGCTTGCTAATGGTTTCTGTCTGTGTCTCCTCTATACCACTAGACTGGGGGCAGAGTTTGTTCTTCTGGCCCATCTGCAGCTGGGTGTCTGTTGTTGATACCTCTTAATCTTTATTTCCACTCCTTTCCACTGGCCAAGTAAGTCAGTTGATTACCTGAGGTCGCATTATGGAAGACACTGAAAAAACCATAGATTTGGAATTTTCTAAACTAGTTGTTCACTCCATATTGAGTTTATGTTGTACCTAGACACTTCTGGGTTTGGTGAGCCTGAAGTTTATACATTATGGGGACCCTGTTTAATAAAAACAATGCAGAATAGTAAATATGAAACTAATACAAAATTGAATGTTTATGTAGAACTATTAATCACAAGTTACAAATTTTAAAGAGTTGAAAAATACCATAAACAAAAAATCAGTATTAATATTTTCATGATTACTAACTGCCTAACATACTCTAAAATTCCTTTTTTGTTTACATACTCTTTGATTATCTCTTAATAGGACCAAGATTTCATAGTATTCTCTATAGAGAAAATTAAAAAATAATTCAGTCTCTCCTCTACTGTGACTGTTTACTATTTATTTATTTATTCATTTATTTTTTGAGCTGGAGTTTTGCTCTTGTTGTCCAGGCTGGAGTGCAGTGGTGCAATCTCAGCTCACAGCAACCTCCGTCTCCTGGGTTCAAGTGATTCTCATGCCTCAGCCTCTCGAGTAGCTGGGATTACAGGCGCGTGCCACCACATACAGCTAATTTTTGTATTTTTAGTAGAGACAGGGTTTCGCCATGTTGGCCAGGCTGGTCTTAAACTCCTGACCTCAAGCGATCCGCTTTGGCCTCCCAAAGTGCTGCGATTATAGGCATGAGGCACCGCGCCTGGCTTGTCTTTTTATTTTTAAAGTAAAACTTGTTCTTAGACAACAAAGCAGTGGTAACTTTTGAAGCATGACCTTTTATTCTCTCCAATTGGGTTAGTAAATAATTTTCTTGGTTATTTTGTTGCTATTATTGTTTTTAGGAAGGTATTTCCAAGGGTAGCACTTCAGGATGAGTTGTCACCTTGAGTTTGTTGAGAAATAAAAGGTCTGGGTAAGGCCAATCATGTCAGGTTTCCAAAACATTTCTTGGAAAAAAATTAAGGTGGCCATATTAACTGTCTTGTCTTCACTGCGTTCTTCTTGAAGGCAGAGGCTTTGTCCTATTGGTTTTTGTCCTTGATGAGGTCAGTGAATAGAACAGATTCTCCCAGTTTCCTGCCAGCAGCACCTCTCACATTGAGGCTGAGAAGCATTTCTGTCTTTAAAGGATTGCAGTGTAATAAAAAAATGAAAATAAAAAGTCAAAATTGGTTTGTAAAAACTGTCATATATTTTAAATGGTGAATTCAGTACAAAAATATTTGAATTATAATGTAATATAAATGTGTTATTTACAAAATAATAGGAAGAAAAGGATATGAATCCATGGTGATCTAGAAATAAGATATGTTTAAAGTTGACCCATGAAGATTTTTGTGTTTGTTTTCTTCAACACCAAGTGTAAATACAATTAGAATGATGTCAAGAGTAGGGTGACTATGAGGTGGGGACAGAATAGATCACCTGGCCTGTCACTTCATCCTCATCCACACTCTAAGTCTACTTATTAGGTCCAGATGTGGTGGCTCATGCCTGTAATCCCAGCACTTTAGGAGGCCAAGGTGGGTGAATTGCTTGAGCCCAGGAGTTCCAGACCAGCCTGGGCAACTTGGCTACACCCCGTCTCTACAGAAAAAAAACAAAAAAACAAAAAACTAGCTGGCTATAGTGTCACGTGCCTGTAGTCCCAGCTACTTGGGAAGCTGAGGTCGGAGGATCACCTAAGTCCAGGGAGGTCGAGGCTGCAGTGAACCATGGTCACACCACTGCATTCCAGTCTGGGCAACAGAGTGAAACTGTTTCAGAAAAAGAAAAAAAAAGTCTCCTTATTAGATACATAAGCTATTAAAACACCTTAAGATAGAAAGTGGATGTTATAGAACTTGTATGTTTAAAATATTGCCTATTAAGCCAGGCGTGGTGGCTCATGCCTATAATCCCAGCACTTTGGGAGACCAAGGCAGGCAGATCACTTGAGATCAGGAGTTCCAGACCAGCCTGGCCAACATGGAGAAACCCCATCTCTACTAAGAACACAAAAATTACCCAGGCATGGTGGCACATGCCTGTAATCCCAGCTACTCGGGTGGCTGATGCATGAGAATCACCTGAACCTTGGGGGAGGCTGCAGTGAGCCCAGATCATGCCACCGCACTCCAGCCTGGGTGACAGAGACTCTGTCTCAAAAAAAAAAAAAAAAAAAAAAAAATTGCTTATTGGATATAACATGGGTATATTGTCTTCAGTAGACCTTGTAAAATTAGACTGATTTTATTACTCCTAACTTAAAACTGTGACTTTTCTCTGTACCAGCTGGTTTGGATGCAGGCAGGATCGCTGTGTGGATAGATGGTCAAGGGATTTGAGTTGGAAACATGGAATCATGGGCTATAAGAACTAGAAGGGTAATATTTAGTAAAATTTTTCTGTCTCAGAGGACAAGAAGTATACCTAAGGCCACAGACAAGCTGAAGCCAGAAGCCAGGCTAATTGAGAGCCCAAGTGACCTTGTTGTTGCAAACATACTTTAGAAGGCTTAACATGAAGCAGAAGCTTCAGGTTGTTCAAAACAGTGCTCCTTTATCCATCTCCCTCCTTGTTGAAATAAATTATAGCTAGCTTTGCCATTTGTCCTAGGATATTTGATACTGTGATAAGCCATGCCTTGTTGATCCGAAAGAAGTGAATTGCCTGTGTTAATCATGTGAAACCTTGTTTCATTCCATTCCTTAAATTCTCAAAAGCAAACTTGCCTCAAAAAACTGTGTAAACTATACTCAAGTAAGGACTCATCTCACTAACACAGTAGAATGAAAGAAGCCAGTTGCAGAACACACATGATCTGATTCATGTGTATAAAGTACAAAAAATGGTAAAACGACTCGCTTTTGGAAGTCAGGGGAACGGTTACTAAATCTTTGTTGCCAGGATGTGGAAGGGGCACATCTGGGGACTTCCTGGATTCTGATAACATTCTGGGTCTTGATCTGGGGCTAACAAGGAAATGTTCAGCTTATAAATTTCACCAAGCTGTATACTCATGACATGTGCTCTTTTCTATATATTTATTGTATTTCAATTAAAAGTTCTATAAATGGACAGAGGAATTAGTAATTGTCATGGGTCCATCTTAATATGCCTGGGACGAGCAAAATTTAGAAACAGTTTTTAAAAATCTGTTCTTTTAGATTAGATCCCATCTCTAGAGCCACATCTAGAAGCATGAAGTTGAATTTTACTGAGCTTTTCTGCAGGAATAAAATGGTTCTTTTTAAATTTGTTTGGTTCCAGCTCAGAAAAAGTTCTCTTTGTATTGCTGTTGGAGAGAGGTAGTTTTTTTTTTAAAGACGGAGTCTTGCCCTGTTGACCAGACTGGATTGCAATGGTGCAATCTCGGCTCACTGCAACCTCCGCCTCCCGGGTTCAAACGATTCTCCTGCATCTCACCTCTCTCTCACTGCTTCCATGCTCTCTTTACTCTGTACTTTTAGCTGAGAATCACGATCTTTTTTTTTTTTTTTGAGATGGAGTCTCGCTCTGTCTCCAGGCTGGAGTACAGTGGCGTGATCTCGGCTCACTGCAACCTCTGACTCCCTGGTTCAAGCGATTCTCCTGCCTCAGGCTCCCAAGTAGCTGGGATTACAGGCACGTGCCACCATGCCCAGCTAATTTTTGTGTTTTTAGTACAGACCGGGTTTCACCATGTTGGCCAGGCTGGTCTCAATCTCCAGATCTCGTGATCCGCCCTCCTTGGCCTCCCAAAGTGCTGGGAGTACAGGTGTGAGCCACCGCACCTGGCCTCTTTTTTGCCTCAGTTCTAGGGGAGGCAGAATTGATTAGAAGGAGTGTGGGGTTGTGAGACCACCTTCAAGGGAGTCTGAATTTTCCTCAAGGGCTAGTGCCTGGTCTGAAACCAGGAGGGGTCAGAAACCAAGTCAGCCCAAAGATGCTGACTGCAGCTGTCTGGCAGGGCAGCAATGCACAGTTGCAATAGAAATCCTCAGGTAGCATTTGGAAAAATACCTAGAACTTCAGACTTTGGAAAATATCAAATCATTAAACCTTAGGTTTCAGTTCTTGCCCTGAGCTGCTTGTTTTTTGAGGTTGCCTTAGAATCTGGATTCACTATAGCTGACTCAGCCTAGTTCATCTTGTCAGTAATACTTAATCCCTAGACAAAAATAAATTAGAGAGGCCGGGCACGGTGGCTCACGGCTGTAATCTCAGCACTTTTGTGAGGCCGAGGTGGGCAGATCACTTGAGGCCAGGAGTTCAAGACCAGCCTGACCAACATAGTGAAACTCTGTCTCTACTAACAATACAAATAAATAAATAAATAAACGAAATGAATGAGAAAGAAAACTGATGTGTTGAATGGGAGGGGAATTAGAGAGGGATGCTGGGGAGGTCTAGACACACACACACACACACACACACACACGCGAGATGATGTAATGGTTTCTTCATTATCCATTTGAACTCTGTTTATTTATCACAAAACAACATTAAACAATAACCAGGAAGGCTCACCACGACTTCCTGCTGCAGCTGTGACAATATTGTTGTAGTATAT